ATAGTATTAATTAGAAATTTTTTTAATTTATTATTTTTTTGTAATAAGTGTAAATTGTTTAAAAAAAAAAAAAAAAAAAAAAAAAAAAAAAAAATTTCGTTACGGTTTAAAAAAAAAAAAAAAAAAAAAAAAAAAGAACTTCTTTTCATATTTTGATATATTCAGAATATGCAATAAATCTGCAATTGTATATACTTACAAAAATCTCTAACCATCACAAGCAATGCGAAAATAAAGCATATTTAATTCGAAATCATGAGCAGCTCTTGTGAAAGAGGATATAGTCGTCTCTTTAATGTTAGTCCGTGTGGTAACTGGGTATGACAGAATAGTCCCACTGTAGGTCATGCATGTCGTAAGAGGCGACTAAAATGGGTACCCAGCGTCTGGGGGTATAGCCTGGGGATTATATCAGGGGACCTCAGGGACTTGCCTTCTTTAGGTAAGTACGGGCATCATGAAACCGAGGTATCCTAGTAATCTTTTTCTTTCTCAAAGGTTTTACTCACTTTGGTGAACACGGATGGCCGCGGTAGCCTAGTGATCAAGATTTCGGATTCGTGACCGGCGTTTTTGTTCAGTCGGCGGGGCGGGCCTTGGGCCGCCAAAGACCCGCTGTGTAGCCGTGGCTGATGCACTTTAAATCTGTTCGGGGCCCAAAGACCTCCCGTTGGCGTAGAGTAAATGTTAAGAGAGGGGGTGTCAGCTCAAGTGTCGTCCTCGTCACTTGACCAAGGCTCAAAATTACGAGGTCTGTCGCCAATAGCCCTCGTGTTGATTCTAGTGCAACGTTAATAAAAACTAAACAAAATTTCACACGTCTAGATCACAGTGGTCCCTTGTTTGGCGCTTCACGGCCACATCTGGCTCTTGCGCGCCAAGGTCCATGCGATGATGAAAACATCGGTTCTCGTCCGATCACGGAAGTTAAGCATCATCGGGAGTGGTAAGTACTTGGAAGGGTGATCACCTGGGAACAACACGTGCCGTTTACATTATTTAATTCGGGTGACGCACCCCCGGTAACCCTAGCAATCCTTCTCTATTTTCGACCCTCCTTCTTGTCAACCAATTTTTGTCTTGACCCGTTTGATGACCGGGAATGACAGAATAGTCCCACTGTAGCTCATGCATGTCGGAAGAGGCGACTAAAATGGGTACCGAGCGTCTGGAGGTATAGCCGGGAACCTTGCTACTGGAGATTATATCAGGGGACCTCAAGGACTTGTCTTCTTAAGATAAGTCCGGGCATCATGACCCCGAGGCATCCTGGTGATTTTTTTCTTTCCCTTGGGGTTTACAATTTTTGGTAAACACGCAGGACGCGTCCCCAGGTTACTCTAGCGATCCTTCTCTATTTTTGATCCTCCTTCTTATCAAACAATTTTGACTTTTCTTCACGTCTAGACCACAGTTATATCTTGTTTGGCGCAGTATAGCCACATCTGGCTCTTGCGGTAATAAACTTTACATTCACTCACTCTCTCACTCCAATTTTTGTCTTTTCTTCATGTCTGGAGCACAGTTAAATTTTGTTTGGCGCAGCATGGCTAATCTGGCTCTTACGCCAGTAAATTTTACAATTACTCACGTCTAGACGACAACTAAATCTTGTTTAACGCAGCATAGCCACATCTGGCTCTTGCGCCAACGACCTTCACATTCAAAATTCATTTTACTGGCTTTTGCTCTTTTAAAAATATAATCACACACACACGATGCGTACGTAAAATAGATTTATACTTCACAGCTGAGTTTGTATGACTACGGTAATGTAAAGAGAGCTACCCAAATGATACCAAGGGAGCTACCCTGTGGAACAGATGCATATTAAATTTGAACGAAGTCCCAAGTCCTCTCGAAAGTGTGGTGGAGAAACATGTGACAGCTCAAATGTCATTCTCGTCACAGGTTCAAAATTACGAGGTCTGTTGCCAGTAACTCTAGTGTTGCTCCTCAGTGCGACATTAATAGAAAAATAATCAAAGACAAGTTACTGTTTGTGTGTTCTGTAACCTTTTTTAACACATGTGGCAACAAAAGCAAAACATAGAAAAAAAATTAAACGGAGGAAATGAAATGCGAAAGATATATCAAGCAAGCTAGACTTCGACAGTTTGTGAAAAAAATACACAAGCATACTCCAGTCTCTGAATATAATGCAAAGCCAGGTGACACCTGGAGCACGGATTTATGCTATTAATAAGTAAATACATTAATTTTATGAGTGAAATTTCTTATAAGAAATTCAATACATCTTCTTTACTGTTTTTACATAAAGTACCAATAACATATTGATCAACTTTTAATCTTACTTACCCTAGCGATCCTTCTCGAGTTTTCGACCCTCCTTCTTGTAAACCAAATTTGTCTTTTTCTCAATTTTTTTCTCGTCTAGACCACAATTAAAACTTGTTTGGCGTAACATAACATCTGACTCTTGTGTGTGCGCCAATAACTTTTACACCCACTCACTCATACTGCTTAAATTTAAAAACTATTTATCTTTTATACAATATTCCGTTTTTCTTCGCAAAATGTCTGGATTACTTTGAGTTTTTATTCTTAAAACTGTAATAATTGTTTATATAATAATAATTTTTTGTATGACTATTTACTAATACTCATATTTAGGGATTTTAAATTCTAATACGAATAGAGAAAATGGAGCAAATATACGAGTGTCTACAAAAAACCGAAAAGAGATAGGCAGAAAGGAATCACAAGAAAATAACGATATGCCTTTGTAATTTTCCATTAAAAATATTTTTATAATTTGTAGCAATGTTTCTCTTTCTATGATTGGCTCTTGTGGGACATAGAGCAACAAAGGTTATAATTCATTTTAAAAGATGCTTTTCATTCAGTAGAATCAATTCTTGTCAACCAGTTTTACCTTTTTTTTCAACTTCACGTCTACACCACAGTTTAATCTTGTTTGGCGCAGCATAGCCATATTTGGCTCATGTACCAATAAACTTTACATTCACTCACTCACACAGTAGAATCAAAGTATTTCAACATCTGCAGGAATATTCTGAATTCTGGTTTACGGGCTACAGTAGCTTCTTAAAAATCTTTGAAAATAGTATTGCGTTGTGGGTCTACCTTAAGTATATTCCAGAGATGATTTCTATGGAAGGCATATTTATTACAAGTCAAAAGAATATGCCCCAGATTATTAATACAGTTACAGGTACTACACATTGCATTATCCTGTAGATGGAATTTGTGTAAAAGCCCAATAGGTATGATCAATTTGTAGATGATTCGAGTGCTAAAAATTACCTCTCTTCTGCTCTCCGTCCAAATGGATATTTTATCAATGATTGGAATGTTCCTAAGTCTTCGAAATATTTACTTCAATAAGATTTTCGTTGGTTTTTTTTTTCATTCTGTTTTTGTAAATGTTGCTATGGATATCTTCTGGTGCAATACAGTCGATGTATATATAGGATTCCGTAACCGATTTTGGAAATTTATCCGCCTGATCATCCCAAAAATATTTCTGAGTGTCCGGAATCCAAAGTACCATTTGGAAATTGAGATAAATTTTCTTTCATTATCAAACGGCTTCTAATTATTTTTACCAGATTGTTCTTAATGGCTTCTCAAAATTTACTCACAAAAATGAAACTTGAGCTTTGGGGACCCTGGATTAACACTGTATGAGAAAGATTGACTACTGGCGACGAACCTCATAATTTTGAACCACTGATGAGGAAGACACATGATCTGGCACTTCCCTCTTCAAACTTCTACACCACTCCAATGGAAGGATTTGGAACCTTACACTGCTTAGAAACTTTTCCCAGTAACACAAGCTAATTTTTTGCACATCTCTGAAAATTATAGGTAACAAGAATTAAAGAAATTTTATATGTGTGCTTTATCCGATAGAGTTGAATATACAAATCTTTGAATAGTCATAATAACGTTTGTATTTATAAACAACATCAAGCGTAAATAAAAATCATTAGATTATTGAAAAGGAAAAACGAATTTATAGACTAAGAATATACTCTACTAGACAAATTTATATACTGAAATATAAACGCGATAGGACGCGTCGCACGGTCCTAAAATTTTTAAGCATAATCAAATGATGAGGAAGACACCTGAGCAGGTATTTAATCTCTTAAGTTCCACACGTTTAATGTGAGCCCAAGAGCTGTAACTTGCATCAGCCCCGCTACACGAAGATTTAATGGAACCGAGTTTAGTTTTAATTTAGTTTATATTAACGTCGCACTAGAAGCAACACGAGGGCTATTGGCGACGGACCTCGTAATTTTGAACCTCGGTCAAGTGAAGAGGACGACACCTGAGGTGGCAACACCTCTCCTAACTTCCACACAACGCCAACGGGAAAACTTAGGACCCGACAGATTTAACGTGCATCAACCGCGGCTACACGGTGGGTCTTTGGCGGCCAAGGATCGAACCCGCGACTGAACGAAAACCGCCGGTCGCTAGCCCACGAACTTGACCACTAGGCTACCGCGGCCCTTTAATGGAACCGAACACATAACTCGACTGAAACATCACCAGCTAAGCTCATTTGGTACCACACATTGAAACCCTTGAATGGAAAGGAAAATCCTGACTGATGGTGCATTAACGTCGCTCTTAGAAGCATCAATATTGCTATTGGCGACAGACCTCGTAATTATGAACTTCGGTCAAGTGACGAGGACAATACCTGAGCTGGCAACTCCCTCTCCTAACTTTCATACCAAGGCAAGGGGAGGGGTTTCAAGCCTCGACATATTTAACGTCCATCAGCCTCGACTACATGGCAGGTCTTTAGTAGCATCATGGCTCAAACTCACCACTCGACGAAAATTGCCGGCCGCAACCATAGAACTCGACGGAAACAACGGCAGCTACAAAGCGATCACAATCCTGGCTATGTTCTACCCATGAATACTCGAATATTTCTTTCGCAATTCTATAGCCATCTAAATATTTGCTTATTTCTTATACCCCGTGACTTTTGTAAATTCAGTGATTCCCTCTCTCCCCTATAAATATTTTTAACAGATGTGATGTAAAGAAATAAGACATTTAGTAATTTCGGCATTTGCGAGAATATGAAATATCTCTTTCAAGAAAATTAAATCTATATATAATCAGTACTGCCAATTTTTTTATAACTATCTGCGACGATATAGTTTAATAATAACATAAAACACAATGACCGACCGGTTGAAATATGATTTAAAATTGTTTAGAGTTTCTTAACGGATCACGATGCATTACGAGGGCTTTTGGAGATTTTGAACCATTGTAAAGCGAGGTTTATGACATCTGTCTCTTTGATCTAGATGTTAGAAAAATGGGGAGAAAAGTTAATTGTTTGACTCAAGAAATTTCAAAAGTAGGGAAAGATCGTTAGGGATTTCTGGTGGCATGTTTACCAAGGACAGTAAATTCCACAGGGAAGAAAAAGATCACTATGCTACCTATGGATCATAATGCTCGCATTTATACTCCCTTTCATCCTAACTTGGTAGCACTAGGGAAGATAGAAAATGCACCAATCCGTTTGAACAAGATAGTTCTATCTTGTTTTGAAATTTAAAAAAAAAAAAAGATGTATAGAGATTTGTAAAAAAAAAAAAAAAGTCATAGATTATAGAAATTATGATTTTTAGGATATATTTCAAGTTAATAACATATTTAATTCATTTATTTTTATTTTAAGCGAGTGAATATAGTCGAAACAGTGACGTGATGAATTTCCAGTTTGGCTGGAAACCGATTTTCAAGATAACATTTCTGGCGAGATTGTTACTCTTCCACACCAATTAGCTTTGCACACGTTCTTACCTCTTGCGCTATTTTCTTGTTACTTTCTAAACATGGCTGAAGAAGGAATTTCACCGATCACGCTGTGTACAACATTAAAGCGAGAGAAATCAATCCAAAATGGAGCCCGGAGAAACATATTGAATGGTTATTCTTGACTTGAAGAACATTTTGAGAATC